GTCTTCGTTTTAATATAGCTAGCTAGTTCTCTAGTTAATTAGTAGGTTACTCTCTTATAGCTATAGAAGCCTTAATATAAGGTTATATTCTTTAATATCTATAATATCGAAGTTAACTTATTTATTATAGCCCTAGATATTAATATCGAGGTAATTAATCTCTATATTAATAATTCTATTATTATAGTTAAAGGCCTCTCCTTCGATATTTATAAGTTTATATAGATCTATCTTATATCTCTATATAAGTCGGTAACGATTAACGACTTTAAGTAAAACGTAATTACCTATCGCGCTATAGTCTAAAAGTATACGCGCGTAATATCCCGCGATTTAGATATCTAATACTATTTAGTTACTATAGCTTACCGTTACTATATATAAGGTCCTTAGATCTTATTATATCGTGCTAGTCTATAGCCCTTTTATAGATAGTATACCTTATTTTTTACTTAGTCCTTATTCGTTTTATTTAGGTATTCTTCTTCGATTTATTATTAATATTATTTCTTTATATTTTCGTCGCGTAGTATTATATTAGGGCTTAAGAGACTAATTTCTTATAACTAATCGAAGATTTCTTATTTCTTAACGCTATATTATTTATATTATACTACTTTATAGTTAATTATATACTATACTTTATAATTCTATTTATTTTCGTACTAAAGGTTAAGTTTTCGTTTAGCGTCTTTTTATTTTTCGCGTAGTATTTCTATATCGACTTTTCCTTAGTTAAATATAGCTTATAGCCTTCGTATATATTACTAATAATATTTTAGTATACTATTATATCGTTTATACTATACTTATACTTTTTTATATTCGTAAACTTTATAGTTTAAGTATATATATTTATTATAATCTTCTTTATTATATTTAACTTATTATATAAGTCTTTAAAAGATTAAGGGTTCGGATACTTTAAAGCGAGTAGCGTTATACTATTCTTTTATTTTAGCGTATTTATAGATTTTATATATCTTTAAAAGATATCTCGTTAATAAACCGTAATTATCGCGGTATTTAAGTAGCGTACTATAATTAGGTTCTAATAATATAACTTAGTCGTTTAAGTAGCGTTAATTAATTTTCTAGTAGTTTAGTTCTATACTTAAGTAGGGTTTTAAAAGTACTTATCCTTTAAACTTAACTAGGAAGGCGTTATATCGTGCCTTTATCTAAAAGTATATTATATAATCTAGGTAGACGTATAATATCTATAAAATATACTTATAGTACTTATAAGTAAGTAGTATTTATAGATCGTCTTTAAATTCTCCTTATAGTTACTATTCTCGTTATAAAGCTATAAAGGTATCGACTACGGCAATAGCTATAGTATAGTCTCCTTTATATAGTACCGGTTAATATCGAATTAATATAGCTTATTAGTTTTCTATAAGAATTTAAGGTATTTATTAAGTTTTAATTTTAAGTATTTCTTTAAATTCTTTAAAGTATAGAGCGTATTCTCTAATCGTAGTATTTTCCCTTAGTAGTAAGGGTAGTAGTATAAGTTCGTTCTCGTCTTCTATTTCTCTAGGTATTTCTTATTCTTTAAAGCTTATATCGTTAATACTTCGTTATTCCTCTTTAAGTTATTATCCGAGTTTCGTAAGTATAAGGGCTATATCTATATCTTCTTTACTATATTATTAGTAGACTACCTATTATTATTATCGATTTTTATTTTATATATCTTCCTAGAATTATTTACTATTCTTCTTAATCTAGTCTTAAAAGACTCCTTTAAGATAAGGGTATTCTAGTTCTACGAATTTAACTTATTTCTATATTTTAAGATCCCTTTATTATATTATTATAAGGGTCTTCTTTAGTAGCTTTAGGAACTATCTAATACTATTCTTATCGCTTAAGTATACTATATATTTATCGTCGTAGTATATAGTCTAACTAAGGAGTTTATACTTTAGTTCCTATCTATTAATAGCGTTTAGGTATTTCTTACCTTCTAAGGCTAGTACTTAGTAGGTTTTCTTTTCCTTATAAGGTTATCTATATTCCTTAGAGTAATATCTAAGTTTCTTATAGTTAAAATACTTTCCTTTACTTTTCTATATTACGTCTAGATCTATCCTACCTAGGTTAATTATATAGGCGTAGGTAATAGGAGTTTCGCGCTTTTTTTTATAGTTAGCGTATCGGTTAAAGTTATTCTTATAAGAAGGGTTTTAGTTTCCTCTTCTTTATTTCTTTTCTTAGCATTATATATATTATCTATCGTCGATTTATACTACTATAGTAATATAGTCTAAGAGGTTATTAGGTCGATTTTCCTTATAGAGCTTATCCTTAACTTCTTCTTTAAGCCTATTATAAAATCGTAATATAAGAGGTTCGTTATCTTAGTTAAGTTTTAAGGTAACTTAATAAAACTTTATAGTATAATCCGATACTAAGATCCTTTATCGGAGTTCTCGAAGTTTTTATTTAGCTTCTTATTCCTCGTTAGTTATTTTAAATACCTTTATAATAGCTTCTTTAAATCCTTAAAAACTAGCAAAGACTTTATCTATCTTATTATCTCGTCGCGCTAGTTAGTTATCGAGAAAATCCCTTATAATAGGTCTAAACTAAGCGAGTACGGTTCTAGATAAATAATTTCCTATATAGAGTACCTTTTCGACTAGGTCTAAGAGTTTAGTAGGGTAAAACCGGTAGTAGGCCTTAAGTTAAGTAAGAAAGTCTTAAAGCGTGCTATAAGTACCGTCGAATAGTCCTAGCTATTTTAGTTTAACTACTTCTCTAAGGTCCCTAACTTATCTATTGCCTCCTTTATTCTTAAGTAACTATACCTTATATTAAAGGGTAATAATCTCGCGTATTATATCCTAAGGCGATATAGTAGCTTTAAAGTTAGTTAATCTAGCTTACTATATAGGTATATTAATAGTTACGATATTACTTAAAGTAACGCGGTATTATACTAAATAAGAGCTTTTAACGTATAACGACCGGTATTATTTCTAAGGGATAAACCTATTAAGGGGTTTATATTAGTAGATATAATAGGGCGTAGTCTAAGTAATAATAAGTATATTATATTAGTAATAAGTCGGAGGTCGTAGACTATAGACTATAACTAGGTAATTAGAATTAAAGATAGAATCGTAATAAAGATCTATATTAAAAGCTAGAGAGCTATCTATCTAAAAGAGTAAAAGTAGGTAGCTATATATACCTATAGAGACTATCCTTAGATTATAGGCCTAGCTATAATCCCTAACGTTAGATCGTATAGAGCGTAGTAATCCTATTAATCCTAGATTACTTAGATCTCTACGATCCCCTTAATCCTATATCTATTAGATAGTCGTGCTGACTATTTATCCGTTAGACCGTGTTACGTGCTTAACGCGGTCGACCGTTAGCGGCCTAGTAGCCGTGGTCGTAATACTTTATCTTTTTATTAAGTAAGTCTCTTTCTAAGATCTATAATAAATTACTTTTAGTTTAGCTATTAAAGCTATTTAAGCTCTTTTATACTATTTAAGTTAGTATATTCTTAAATCCTATAAATCTAAGCCTATAGTTTAATCCCTTTAATTTATAAGGTCTAATTAAACCTTTCTTTTTAGCTTTACTATATAATTATTCCTTTTTATTTCCTTTAAGGATATCTTAAGAAAAATAAAGGGTTAGGCTTAATAAGTAATATCTTTCTCTAAGGGATATATAATTTAATATATTTCTAGTACTACCCCTTACTATAGCTAGGTTCTTTACCTTAATACTATAATTTAAGCGTTATTATAGCGTTAATAGCTTATAAATAGCTTTAAAGGTAATATTAATAGGTAAAAGATAATCTAGCTATATAGACCGGGCTTATAACTCTTAAATAAAGGTTTAAGAGTATAGTAAAAGAAATAGGTATATAGAAAAGTAAATTTAATAATATATATCTTAGTCTATTTATTAAGATAAAGGAGGGGCTTATATAGGTATAGTAACTATATATAGCTAGCTAAAAGAGGGCATTAAGATATTCCTATACCTAAGTTAGGCTTATATTATATCCTTAAGCTAGGGGAGTTATTAATACTTAGGCAGGCTCCCTTATATATAACTATTAGGTCTACTAAGCATGACTATGGCCTCTTATGCCCACTCTCCTTAACATATATATATTTCTAAGTCCCCTCCAGGGGGGCGACCTACTTTAAAATTCAGGTGTGTCCCAGAAGCAAGAGCGGCGGCAGCTAGTGTCCCCTCGGATTCTCAGCGATAAGATTGCCTCTCATAGTAGCATCCTTGGACGTTGACGAATTTGCTCTGGTATAGACCGTTGACCCCATCGACTTGACTGCTCCTTAGCTGTCTGTTGTCCAATCTACCGACCGAATGTGCTTAATGCCGTCCCACTCGGCCCTGGTCACTTGCGTCTCTAGACGTACTGCACGATTATCGCGATTGCAAGAGAAAGGGCCTGCATTACAGGCCAAGTCTGAATTTGGAAGCTATCTGTCCGTTCCAAGTTTAAGGAATGACTCTCGGCCATTTGGCAACTCCCGTCCAAAGCTTAAAGACATGTCAAGTGGCGGGGCTGTATTTCGGCGTAAGATATATACGAATCCACTGGTCGGTGCCAGTTATTAACAACACAGCATGGATATTGTACACTCGCAAAATGGCGATGGTCGTGCTGGTACTCCGTAGACGCGGGAGGTGATGGAAGGGTGACTAAATTTGGTGTGGGAACCAAGGGAGAAAAAACAGACTCGAGTGGTAGGTTGTATACCATCTCGAAGCTCGGTTGTTTTCCATCAATAAGCTTGATATAAAATGGCGAGAAGTTCCTTTATAAATACACACGCATAATACCTACGTATTAGCAGCACGGAATAAGTTACCAGTGGGGGCTCGTCCGAGGTCGGCGATTGGCCTAAGCAAGCGAGCCAAGTGGTCCCCCACCTCGCTGAGCTCAACATTTCGGGAGGGGCAACATCGCATCGGCGACGGACAACAAGGAAGAAATGTCGACGCTCCAGGCCGTCAAGTACTCCCGCGGCAGGCTGCAGGTCCTCGACCAGCTCCGCCTCCCGCACGAGTTCCACTATGACGACGTGGCCACCCGGTCCGAGGCCTTTGATGCCATCGCCTCCATGAGGGTGCGCGGCGCCCCGGCCATTGCCATCGTCGCCAGCCTCGGCCTCGCCGTCGAGCTTCACAACGCGCCCGCGCCGGGCAGCTCCGCCCTCGAGGCCATTGCCCACGTCGACGAGGCCCTCGATTACCTCAAGACAAGCCGCCCGACCGCCGTCGACCTCACAAACGCAATCAACCAGCTCAAGGCACGCATCCGCGCCGGCGCCGACACCAACGAGGCGGTCGTCCAGGCCTTTATCGACGGGGCAGAGGCCATCCTGCAGAGGGACCTGCAGACGAACCTGTCCATTGGCGCCTTTGGCGCAGACTGGCTCCGCGCCCGCGCCGCCGCCTCGCCCACCAGCCCCGTCTCGGTCCTCACCCACTGCAACACCGGCTCGCTCGCCACCTCGGGCCACGGCACTGCCCTGGGCATCATACGCACCCTTCACGTGGGCGGGCTGCTGCGGCACGCCTTTTGCACGGAGACGCGCCCCTACAACCAAGGCAGTCGACTGACGGCCTTTGAGCTGACGTACGAGGCCATCCCCAGCACTCTCATTACCGATTCCATGGCCGCCTCCCTCTTCCGCACCAGGGGGCCTGCCATGAACATTGCCGCCGTCATTGTCGGCGCCGACCGCGTCGTCCGCAACGGAGACACGGCCAACAAAATAGGCACCTACCAACTCGCCGTGCTGGCCCGACACCACGGAATTAAGTTCATGGTCGCCGCGCCGACGACGAGCATCGACCTCGAGACACAGACTGGCGAGGCCATCAACATCGAGGAGCGCAAGGCCTCGGAGCTGACGCAAATCACGGGCGCCGTTGTCCGGCCCGACGGCACCGTCGACAAGAACACCAAGGTTCACGTCGCCACAGCGGACCAGACCGTCGGTGTTTGGAACCCGGCCTTTGATGTCACGCCGGCTGGCTTGATCGATGTTATTGTAACTGAAAGGGGGACGGTCGAGAAGGGCGCAGACGGCCGCTTTGATTTGAGCAAGCTGATGCCTGAGAGGTGGGCACAAGTGGTGGAAGGGCACTCGTCATGATGTCAGCAAGCGTCAAGAAAGGTATACAGACTAATAGTAATGGAGGAGGGAAAGAGCAAGTTGATGAATTCACGAGGGCGCGGGCAACATCCTGGGATGGACCGAACCGGCCCCCCATCTTCAGTCAAGTACAGGTTCCAAAAGCCCGGGCAGCTGCAAGGTTCAGGGGCATTGCCCACATTTACTGCTTCAGGGCGTGCAGGATGAGCTTCTTGTATCCCTCCACGGCAGTCTCGAGGTCGCCAACCGTCAGGTTCTCCCGCGCGCCGTGCGCGACAAGAATGGAGCCAGGGCCGTAGAGGTAGTTGGTATGGTTGCCCTTGAGATTCGGAACGTCGGTCCCGTAGTTGACAACAATGGTCTCAAAGTCTTGAAGGACTCGTTAGCATCACATGGAAGGACGGGCCTGCAGTGGCCGCAATGGGAGAGGTGTCTAACCAGGCACGTCGCAGTTGCACTCAACGGGTCCGTATCCCTGGGGGCACTTGATGGCGAGCGCCTCCTCGTCGACCTGGTCGAGGATGGCCTGGATCTTGCGCTGGACCGTCTTTGCGCCGTCTTCCTCTCGTCCGATGGCCACTCGGACGGCCAACCCGACGAGGGCGTGCTCGGCAATGACGTTTGCCGCTACGCCGCCGGCGAAGCGGCCGATGTTGACGGTCGTGTTGCCAAACAGGTCGGAGCTGCCGAGGTCTGCGTCGATGAGCCTGGCCATGGCGCGCACCATGAGCTCGTTGGCCGACTTGCCCAGCCAGGGGTAGCCGCTGTGGCCGGGGGTGCCGGTGGCCGTGACCTCGCAGAAGAGGCCGCCCTTGTGGCCGCACGCCAGCTTGTTCTCGGTGGGCTCGCCAAAGATGACCGAATCGAAGGCCGTGCCGCCGAGTGAGTCGCTAAAGGCCCGCATGCCGTCGCCGCCAACCTCCTCGCCAACGACAAAGACGAGCATGACGTCGTCGTGGGCGATGGCTTGGGCCGCCAGCAGCTGGTCCAGGGCGACGACCATGGCGGCAACGCTGGCCTTTGCGTCGACACTGCCGCGGCCTTTGATGACAGTGTCCTTGGTGGCGGGGCCTTTGCCGTGGTCAATTTGGTAGGGGATGTAGGGGGGCACCACGTCAATGTGGCTCGTCAGCACGACCCTCGCCTTGGCACGCTTGCCGCCCTGCCAGGCCAGCAGGTTGAAGCGCTCCGTGTCGTTGGGGAAGCCGGCCCTGGGCGCCACGCACTGGCGGTCCACGGTGTAGCCCTTTGCCTGCAGGTGGTCGGCGAGAAAGCGGCCGACCTTGGTCTCGTTGCCCGAGATGGACTCGATGGAGACGAGCGACTTGTGCAGTCTCAACAGCTGATCCCGGTAGCTGGGGGCGTTGGGCGAGGGCGAGGGCGTCCGGTTGACGAGGGCGCCGGAAAGCAGCTTCTGGCTCGCGCACAGGGCCGAAGGCGGCGCTAATGCCAGCAAGGCGGCTGCGATCGGTGCCGGGCGCATCTCTGTAGGTGGATGGGTGGATAGGTAAGCTTTTGACTCTGGGCAATCGGGGGTTGTAGATATTATCCACGCTTCAATGGAACAGCTAATTGGGACTGTTGATCCGATTTGAGGCTGTCACCTCCAAATGACAGCTTTATGATGGCTCCTTGTCCTGGAAATGAGCGAGTGTGAAAGTGAGAGCAAGACGCCGGCGAGGCGATGACGATATGTCGCTCGGTGAGGCGGTGAGCGGGGCCCGGCCGGGATTCCCACCAACAGTCCACTAGTCCCGCACGCGGGGAGCTGGCAGGCTAGGCCGAATCTATACAGCTACCGACCGACCTGTTACCTCGGCAGCAGGCGATAACATTAGGTAAGACCCATTCGGCTGTCTTGTGCGAGGAAATCTGGCTACTTCCTTGTGGCCCACATATCTGCGTAGCCGTACTGGTGGGCTGGAACTGTGCGCAAGAGCTCTCGCAATCCCGAGTCGACGTCATGTCCTTGCATGCTTGTCTTAAATCCGCTGACCTTGATATATTTAAATAGGTTTTTGAGTTAGAGTCTTTGATTGAAATACGCCCTTGTAGCTTAGGGGTAGAGCGTTGCACTTGTACGTCCTCGCCGAAATGCAAAGGTCGGCGGTTCAATTCCGCCCGGGGGCACTCTTATTTTTGCCGCTTCAAGCTCAGTCTTGACCACGTCTTTCTTAATTCGTTCCTTTCCCGTCAGGTTTTAACTTCTCTATACGGAGGAAGCTTTCAATAGTCGTTGCTAACGCTAAAATAACCCCTATTAAGAAAAAGGAAGAATAAAGAACCCCGTATACGCACTTTTCCTCCTATATCTATAATTTCCCCTTAATTTCTTTACTTAACTATTATTTCTCTTATAAAATAAAGACTAATATTTTAACTCGAGCATTAATTATTACGTTAAAGGCGCCTTATAGCGGCAAATTATTAGCAGAGATTTCTTCTTTAACCGGAATTTTAATTTATACGATTAATAGTATATACGCTCGAGCAATTAAGCGAGGCTTCTAGCTAAACTAGCTACCGTTAACTATACGAGACGAATAGCTTTAAGATGCTCCTCGTTCTAGCCGTCCGTCTAAGTAAGCTGCTATTAAAGATAAGGTTTTTAAGAAGGTTCGCCGAGACCGGTATAAAAGGGAAAAAAACTATACTAATATTGCTACCGAGCTTAATTTAGCAGGGCATTTAGTGTCTTCTATTACTATATAGAGGGTATTAAAGAAAGCTAGTTTCTAGAAGACTAAGCCGACGAGGAAGCTTAGATTAACGAAGAAGATAATAAGAGACCGACTTAAGTAGTGTTTCTCGTATAAAGACTAGACCCTTAAGGATTAGAAGAAGGTTATTTAGTCTAATAAGACTTCGGTTATTCTTTTATACCGCCGAGGAAGCTATCGCGTTTAAAGAAAAGCTAACGAACGTTTCGTTCGTAGCTATATTCGCGAGAGATAGAAAGGATCCTCCGAATTTATATTCTAGGGCTGCTTTTCCTACGATAAAAAGGGCCCTTATTACTATTAGGCTCTAGAGACTACTATAAAGAAGAAATCTTCCGAAGAAGATATCGCGAAAATAAACTAGGAATTAGAGCCCTTAATAAAAGAGACATAGGAACTTAATAACGGTATACGACGACTAAACCTACGGTAGCTTCCCGGACTAAAGCCTAAGTAGCGATAGAATTTAAAGAACGGCAAGCTCTCCTAAAGCTCTAAGCGCGGCGGCATTAATTAGTATCTATCACGGAGTAGGCAGAGGCGTGCGCGTAGGTGCCGTCCGTAGAATAATGTTAACAAGCTATATAGAGCTCTCCTATGCGCGGCTGGCCCGTATATATACGTGCGGGATCCGGCCCTCCGTACGTAACTACACAGCTTAGGCCGTAGCCTAAGCCTATAACCTATAATAGTCAAAGACTCTTATATAATGCCCTCCCTCGAGCGCGGCGCGGCGTTGCCCTATTAACGGCTTCTATACTATAGGACCCGTGCCGCTAGCTCTACCCTGCCCTTTTCCGTTAATCGTGCTAGCCCTACTAGCCCTATTATCCCCGCGCCTATTAGCCCGGGCAGCCGGAACCGGGCTCTATACTTATCGGCCGGCTAGCCGTTTAAATAGGGGCGTAACCTATTATATGCGCCCCTAGGTAGCCGGCGGCCGGCCCGGACCTACGTAAGCCTTAGGTTGCCCGTCCCCTCGGCCTTAGGCAGCCTCCTCTACCTAGGGGTATATAAGGCGGCATCCCCCCCTTCCTCCTTCCTTTCCTTCTCCTCCTTCTTTAACCGTAGTAGTAGTAGTAATAGGTAAGTTCCGCTCTACCTAGGGCGTTAGTTCGTTCCTAGCTATACGGGCCGCCTTATTAACGTATACTCGTAGTAATAGCCGTAGTAGCAATAATAGCCCTAATAATAATAACTTTAACTAGTAAGTTCTCCGCCCTATAGAGCGGGAGGCCGTAATCCGTAATACTAACTTCCGCGATAGATATATCTACCTCCCCCTCCCCCGCTTCCTCCTTCTCGGAGCGTACGGAGTCGTTCGTCGACGCCGTGCTAGGCACGGCCGACGACGGCTCCGCCGCTGCCGCTGCTCTTACTATAACGACCGGTGTTATTCCTAAAGGATAAACCTATCGAGGGGTTTATATTAGCAGATATAATAGGGCGTGGTCTAAGTAATAATAAGTATATTATATTAGTAATAAGTTAGAGGTCGTAGACCGTAGACTATAACTAGGTAATTAGAATTAGAGATAGAATCGTAATAAAGATCTATATTAAAAGCTAGAGAGCTATCTATCTAAAGGAGTAAAAGTAGGTAGCTATATATACCTATAGAGACTATCCTTAGATCACGGTCTTAGCCGTAATCCCCTTCGTAGCTTACTATAGCTTACTCGTAAGCTATGCTCCTAAATAGTAATCTATCTATATAAGGCTTACTTAGCTTACGTACGCTCTAGGTAAGCTAAGCCTAAGTAACTTCTCGTCCCGACTATTATTCCGAGCCGCCTTATTACGTAAACGTGGCCGGCTCTCCTACGGCCCGCTAACTATAGTCGTAATATAATATCTCCCCTCCTTTTAGTCTTATCCGTAAGACCTACTACTACCTTAGCCGCTATATATAAATATACCCTTATCGCGCGTATATATATTCCCCGTTTTATCCTTTCTATCCCTTAGGATATACTACTAATAGTATATCTAATCGCGTGTTAAAGGATCGTTCTTATAAGACCCTTAAGCGTATTCGTTTAGCTAAGTCTATTAATCGTCTTAGTTTCGACGTTATACTATATTCTTTTTATTCGTCGCGCGGCTTTCGCTATAAAATACTAGAGAAATCTTCTAAGTATACCGAATATATACGGCGGGGTCGTTCTTATAATACGTTAGGCGTAGCGATTAGCTCTTATAGGTAACTTTATTATCCTGCCTATTATTTATAGCTAACGTATTTCCTAGTATCCTAAATAAATCTAGAGTCCGATCGATTAAATAAAGAAAAAGAAATTACTAAGGAGCGAATATTAAAAGCTTAAGCTAACCTAAATAAAGCCTTAGCTCGTTTAGTATAGCTTCGCTATTAAAAGCGCTAGCTAAAGATAAAGGGTACCGAGATAGTCCGTCGGGGCCTTTATTCCTTAGATAACCTTAACGAGGCTAAGCGCTAAGAATCTAAAGCGGTGGTCGATGTTTAGTCTATAGGTAGATTTAATATAATTAATTAGAATGCTATTAGTTCGTTAGGCGATTTTACGATACCTAGGGTAGATTTTGCTAGTAGAACTATCGAAGTAGAAAACTATAGTAGGTTAAGTGCTTAAGTAGTTCCTAGGTATTTTCCTCTAGTCTATATCCCTTTTACTTAATAAGGTATTTTTATTACTAACCTTATTTTCTTATATTTAGTATTTATTTTACTTTATATTCCTAATTATCGTTAACTTTAATTTTTTCTTATAGTTTAGCGTTTCTTAGCGCTAGTTCTAATAATAAGATATAAAATATTAGGTATATCTGTAGGAATGTATCTATCTAGTGGTGTGACCAACCATGGTTGGCACGTGACCCGTACGGTCACGTGTGCGGCTGAGGGCAGCGTGCCCCCTTTCTCCACGCTGGCCTCTGCCTCCTTAGATAGAGAATCAAGACGAATACAACATCACAGGTTAACCCTAGTACCGTCTCATTGCAGCAGCTGCCGCAGGTGCCTACCCACAATATCCGTATTATTATTAGTAGCGAAAGTTCGTAGTTAACTTTTAAAATAGTTTTCTTAACCTTAAACGGTCTAAGTTTTTTAAAATCTAATTTATTACTTAGTCGTTTTATTTTAATATTTCGTCGTACGAGGTAGACTATATATCCCTCTTAAAAGATTAGTCCTTATAATCTTTTCCGATTATAGTAAGTAGATATTCGTTCTCTAATAAATTAAAGTTCTTATTATATTTCTTTATATAATTTTTATAGCTAATCTACTTATAGTATCGCTTATTCCGCTTATAGTCCTTATTAAGTAACCTTAAATACTTCTAGGTTATATCTATAATTAGCGTATACTAGTAAGAGCTTAGTTATTTCTATAACTAAGCTATTATAAGCTAGTTACGCCGTTAGTAGCTATTTAACTTAATCGTTTTATTCGTAGCTAATATAGTATCGTAAATATTATTTAAGCGTTTAGTTAAGTCGTTCTATTTATCTATCTATTTATAGGTAATAAGCTATACTAAGCTTATATTTTATCCTTAATTATACTATAAGAGCTTACTAAAATTTAGCTATAAATATATTTCCTTTATTAAAGATAATCTTATTTAGTAGTCTATAATTACTAATAATTATTTATATAAATATATATATTAGCTATTCTATATTACTTACTTCTTTATATAGTAAAAAGTATCTATACTTCGTTAATCTATTAGTAATAATAAATATACTATTATACTTAACGTTAGTTATAAGTTCTTTTAACGGTAATAGCTTTATAATATAGTTAAAAGCTATTAAATCCTATAGTTTCTCTAGTATTAGTAGCGGTTATAATTCTCTATATAGTTTATATCGTTTAGCTTTACTTTATACGTAAAGTTTATATTCTTTAATAACTTATCGTACTACTTCTTTAAGCTATAGGAAGTTATATTATCGTCTAATCTATTTTATTATTCTTTAGATTCCCTAGTATCTATATATTAAATATTTATATATATCTTATATAACTTTATCTCGTAATTCTAGTAGTATCTAGATTTTATTTTTATATATTAAAACTTCTAAATATCCTATATTATATCCGTTTAATACTTTATATTCTTTTATCTATTTTAGGATCTTTTAGTAAGTTAAGTTATTAGGTTATACTTTAAATATTATATTTAGCTATCGTTACTAATAGTTCCTATTTTTATTGATTTCTAGGAGCTATCCTTTCGCTATAGGTGCCCCTATATCGTAGTTACTTCGTCGACTAAGGGTATTAGCTTAACCGTTTTCTATTCCTTTTTTATAGATTATTTTATAGTTAAATTCTAATAAGTATTCGGCCTATTAAATCTATTATCTATTTAACTATTACGTCGTTATAAAATATAAGATATTCTTATAGTCTATATA